CATACATGCCAAAAACTCATTAAGCACCATCTCAGTATTACAAAAGAAAACCAAACAGATGACAAACCTGATGCTCAGGAACAGTTTAAACTCAGGCTATGTGGTTCTACAGTCTACACTGTGGCGAACGTCAGTACACTTAGATATTAAATATGGTGACTGGCAATGCTACAGAAAGGTGAGAGCTTCCAACCAAATGTCAAGGATATAGGTTCTAGAACAGCTGTGTGATCTGGTCTCCTGACTGGCTTGAAAAAATGAAACCTTATGTGAACCTCAAGTCTCATTTCCATTTCCGTTAGTTTGATTTTCCAATGTCAGTTATTTTTACATGTGACCTACTCATCTTTCTTTATCTGAAAACTTTTGAGGGGAAAAAAAAATGACTTACTGAAATAGAAGAGCCATCAAGCCTCCTGGTTTCTCCCAAAACAGTTAGTCAACCCTTTTAATTTACTTGCTTCAGTGAATGCCCTACAGTACACATCAATCCACAGTGATGAACAGAAAAGTAACAAATAGTGTTTTCTATAGAAATTACTAAGAATAATTTACAGAGAAAATTGAAACAAATGTGTCCCATAATAATGCTGAACTACATAGTTTGTGAAACGTAGAACAATAAGAACTCAACTTCACATTGACTAAAAGTCCAGATCTAGCATAATGTTACATCCTCTACAGCACGGAGTAGAATGGTTCTGCTTGTACACCTGAATTATTTCAGTGAAGTGTTACCACCTTCCCAGTACTGTCTGTGTAACCATTCTATATTCCTGTGACAAGATTTCACCTTCTTATGTAACATTTCTATATACACTACCTCATCTGATTCTTACAATAACACATCAGTAGATAAAGCAGGTGTAAGTATTATCACCATTTCACAGTTGAGTATGTTGAGGCTGGTACAGCAATAGCTTCACTCAAAGGCTCACAGCTAACGAGGTAAAGAGCTGAGGCTGGAACCAACTATTTACCTCCTACGCTCTCTCCTTTACCCTTTGCTACCTCCTAACCACACACTCACATAGGGAAATACAGCTGACTAAGAGTTTTCACCCTGGAACCTTCTTTCTAAATGACTATCAAGGAATTACTCAGAAGAATGTAAGTGAGGAATCCTTAAGAGTGCCTGATGGGCCAGTGATGTTGGTTACTTTGTTTCTCAAGACTGCATGGAAGGTCTGTAATCAGTCCTTAAAGAGTTCTGAACAGGAGGAGCCAACTTTTATGCTGGTATAGTGTGTGAGCAGCCTGTGGCATACTGTAACCAATACATGAGGAGTGTTGTTAAGTGGCCACATGTACACTTAAGTGTCCAGGGCAGGCTGGTATCCTTTAAGACTTCATCTCTACTAGCAAGGTAAGTAACAATAAAATTAGTAATAATAGCAATAATGATAATGACTTATTATATTGACTAACATTAGCTTTAATACTCATAAACTGTACAAAATATATATTATTAGCCCCATTTTTCATATGGGAAAGCTAATATCAAGCGACTTGTCCAAGGTCTTACTGCTCCTAAGTGGACAGTTAAGATTTGATGTTGTCCCATTTTAAATCCTTTCTACCTTATAATACCTAATTAATATTACCTAATAATACCTCTTGTTAACCTAATTAATTCAGTCAATTGGGGTAATAATTCAACCATCAAATATTTTAGCTTCCAAATCTTTCCATTTCCATTAAACTGTCTAGATCTGTGATGTCCAATATGATGGCCACATGTAGTTACTGAGCACTGGGAATGTTATGAGCTCTAATTGACATGTACAAAAAAATAAAATACAGTAAAAAAATGTGTAAAACAACTCATTCATAAATGATAATATTGATTACATGTTGAAATGGTAACGCTTTGGATATGTTGGGTTAATATAAATATATTATTAAAATTCACTTTTTTGCTTTTTAATGTCACTAAAAATTTTAAACTACATATATAATTAGACAGCACTGCTATAGATTATTATTTCAAGATTCATCTATTTTATCCCCACATACTGATCTCACAGAGAATGAAAAACCCGTATGAAAATGCTTTTGCTGTTGAATTATTCTCATGGCATGAGCCTATAACATAAGATATCAAAACACTGTGTTCTGTAGTATATGTCAGACTGTCTTTATTTTTTACCATAATCCAAGCAAGAAAATATGTCATATTGCAAACCCAGAATGATCTGGTATTCCTTTATCATATATACATATACTATATTTAGTTTTACAACTTTATGAAGTAAACTTTTTACAACTTTATAAACAACTTTATGAAGTAATAGTACTTCCCCTTACTGATGATACTTTCTCTTCAATTATCTGCTATTCTATTTTTTTGATGTTGCTTGTAACTCACTAAACCAACTTCATCACTCACTAGTGTGTTGTAACCCACAGTTTGTAAAACTCACAAGAGTGTGCAAGTGAGATACTGATTCTGTCTACACAGAGGTGAAGGGATATTTTAGCAAATAATAAGATGGACCTGGCAGTAATGAATGAGCTGGTGGAGGCCTATAGCTATAGCAAGATCTGTGGCCCATTCAGTTGGCAAAACTGAAGGGAGTTCAAAACGCTTCCTCTCTCCTATAGAGTCAGCACGAATGGACCTGTCTAATGCCCATCTGTTGTTCTGTCTGCTCAGCATTACCCCTGTTCTTATAAGGAAGAGCATGTGCTTCTTTTGGTACCTGCTCTTCCTACCCAGCCCCCACTTCCCCACTCCCCCGCCCCAGCTCCACCCGTGAGGTTCAAATGGAAACTCCCATATGTTATAAACCATGTCTGATGGCTCATAGGTGGGAACCCAACCCAAGTGAAACCACTCAGAGCCTACTCCTGGGATTTGTGGGCATCTAACTAGAACAGGGAAAAGTCCGTCTTTTCTGATAATAAAATCCCCAAAGTCTTAACTTGGAATCTGTCACTAGTTGCGTCCTCTCCAATGTAGAAGAATTGCTTTATCATAGGAGAGAGTGAAGGAAAGAGAAGCAGAGGTGAAAGGCACAGAGAGGTCAATGGGCCTAACTCCTTGCAGGGCCAGCTTCATGGGCATGTGGCCCATGCAGTCACTTAAGGTCCCGTACTTGGTTTATGTTCTTCTGTGGCCATCTTGAAGCTCTTAATCATTTTCAAACAAAGGACACCGCAAATTACATAACTGGTCCTGAGGCATTGGTTCCAATTTTTCCTTAAACCCAGTGGGATCCTCATCCTTCCTAAGACTGAATCATTCAGCTCTTCTTTAGATTATGTGAGATTCTTCCAACAAATTATCTTTTGTGCTAAACTTCTTAGAGGTAGATTCTTTTACTTGCAGCCAAGAAACTGGACTACACTGTGGTCAAAGACACAGGATGAGACCAATAACACAATTCTAGAGGCTCCCAGCCCCATTGCATTCCCAAAAGATACAGTTCTGTCCTTGCCCCTCAGGTTTCTGATTTTTTCAGAACTACACCTGCAGGGCCTGGATATCTCCCCAGAGAGTCCAGAAAGGTCTTTGTGCTTTAGAAAGAACACAGGCTACAGTGGTTGGTAGCATTTAGAGACTAACACTGGTTTTAGGCATCTTGTAATATAATTTAAGGTGGTATCCTTAATATTGCAAATTCAGTAGGTTTATATCCAAACTGTACCATGCTCATTTCTCTGAATAACTGAAAAGCAAGCAAATAAGTAAAATAAAACATGTTCCAATATCACAGTCTAATTGGGAAAAGGGGTTTCATTTGTGTAATGCCCATAATCAGCTTTAAAACATATCCATGGATTATCGTTTGTTTACAGAGGAAAGTAAAATGGCCAGACCTAATGATGAGGTGATCAGTGGCTTAGTTTTGCTAATTCCAGCATGGTTATCTTTAGACTGATATTTTGGCTGAACCATAGAACACAGAACTTGCCAACATTTTTTAAAGTGAAGGAGTGTTTGCCTCTTTCAGTTTGATTTAGTGGCCTGAGGTTTCCCCAAGTCCCTTTGAACTGTTTGCTCTTGAACCGCATTTGTTTCTTATGCATTTGGAGTGATTGATGTGCTCCTAAGGAAGAAGGAATAGGAGGGAGCATGTGAGATTAGTCTTCAACAGAAATAACAAATCTAGTTGAAACAAAAGGAGAAAAGTGAGATCATCCAGAGGTTACTGTCACTCTCAACACACACAAAGGTTTCTTTGGGCAGACTGCAGACGTTCCCCCAAAGTATTCTGCAGAATAGCCGCCAGGCACCAACAACAAAGATGTGACTTGGGCATGAGATGATAGATTCGAGGGAACAGAGTAACAGAAGTTGTGTTCTTGAGAACTGTGTCATCTTGAAAAATGCCCTGAATTCAGCATTGTTTATATTCCTCCGGAATATGTTAGTGCCTGTAGGTGATCCATGTGAGAAATTCTGGTCTGGTCTCTTACAAACACTCTGAATCCTATGTCCTGAAAAAGTTACAGAAGGATGTCAAGCCTGGCTTCCCCTCCCACGGAATCATGGAAAACATACTATATCAGTGCCTTGATGTGCCACCTTGTTTCGTCCTTACACTAGGTCTGTAAAGCAAGTATACAGTGTCCTTGGTTGTAGTTCAGTCATTCGGCATATATTTACTAAGCACATATTGCCTGTGAAGCACTCTGCTTCTGGGATACTGCAGCGAATAATACAGATGTGACCCCTTCTCCTTCGGCGCTTACTTTCTCAGATAAAAAAAGGGGGGAGGGGACATTAAGTAGATAAAATAATTGCCAGGGGAATTGAGGTTATCATGGAAAGGTACAAGAGTTTGAGAGAAAGATAAAGAGAAGGGGCAGCCCAGCTTTCCACCTCCGCCTCTCCCAGGCACCCCCAGGCTCCATTCTCTCCTCCCTATACCCCTGCCCAGACAGCACCCACCTCCCCTTCCGCCCCGTTTTCCCTCCTTCTTTCCCTCCTCTCTCCGCTCCCTCTCTGACCTGCCGCCCCTCCCTCCGCTCCCCTGCCCTTCTGCTCTACCAAGGCCCCCAGGAGCCCTCTACCCTCACCCCATGGCCCAACCGTCCGGGCACGCGCCCCGCCCGAGCCCACCGCCCCTGCGCCCTCCTCCCACCCTGTGAGCCGTGGCCGTTGCCAGATGTCCACAATGGGAAACGAGGCCAGTTACCCGGCGGAGATGTGCGCCCACTTTGACAATGATGAAATTAAAAGGCTGGGCAGGAGGTTTCGGAAGTTGGACTTGGACAAATCAGGCTCTCTGAGCGTGGAGGAGTTCATGTCCCTGCCGGAGCTGCGCCACAACCCGTTGGTGCGGCGAGTGATCGACGTCTTCGACACCAACGGCGATGGAGAAGTGGACTTCAAGGAATTCATCCTGGGGACCTCTCAGTTCAGCGTCAAGGGCGACGAGGAGCAGAAGTTGAGGTTTGCGTTTAGCATTTACGACATGGATAAAGATGGCTACATTTCCAACGGGGAGCTCTTCCAGGTGCTGAAGATGATGGTGGGCAACAACCTGCCGGACTGGCAGCTCCAGCAGCTGGTCGACAAAACCATCCTCATCCTGGACAAGGATGGCGATGGGAAGATATCCTTTGAGGAATTCAGTGCTGTGGTCAGAGACCTGGAGATCCACAAGAAGCTGGTCCTCATCGTGTGAGCCTTTTTCTTACAAGCACCACCCAACAACTTTTGCTTTCTTCCCTACCTCTTTCAAGATTTGCTCAAGATGTCCAACTGTCTCTCTGACTTAGCTGAAAGTATTTCTCTTTGTGAAGCCATATGTCCCAACAGGAGCTTCATCACCAGCTCAGTGCTATTAATTCTTCTCTGAATGACTCAGGGTACCCTATGAGGGGAAGAGCAAGTCAATTGAGCATAGTGGGGAAAGAAAAGGAAATGCCTTTTATAAACATCTTTGTTTTGATCCAAAGACCAAACTAGAACTTTGAAAGTTCAAAAATAAGAAAATATATATTTTTGCTGTTATTTCTCATCATTTTGTTTATGGGAGGAAATTTATAATTTGCATGGGTGTTAGGTGAACTGTTTTCATTTGCTTGTGTTCAGATATCTTGTCAGATTGTTAACTTCCTATTGTAGCAACAGGGACAAATATATTTATCTTTGCTGGGCATCTTGTAATCACTTTTCTTGGGGGACAAAATCCTATCTTTTCCTTCAGCGGATTGCAGCCCCATTCCCCACAATGCATCCAGAAATCGCTGTGCATGTTTGAGGGGTAGGAGTTCATTTGGCCTCCTCCTGACTCGTTGCTCCAGCTCCTGAACAGAAACTAGCTTCAGGGCTCTTATAGGAAATGCTAAGCCTGGACTAAGTGCCCAGCTCAGTCATCATCCTCATTGGCAGTGGGTTTCCAGGGTTGGCAGCCCACACCAGCATTAAGTTCAATGAAGGGGACCTCCAGCTAAATAGGGCAAGGAAAGTGTTCTCCCAGAAAGTGCTCTCACCTCGAACACTGGTCCCTACCCCTCAGGTGGAGAGAATGGGACATTTAGTTAGTTGTCCCACGGAGGAGAGGCAGTAAAGATTCAGGCTGCAGTGGAATCTCCCTAGGATGCTGAAGTGGCATTATGTCTGTGCTCAGAGATGCAGAGACTGACAATTGTGTCTCCACAGCAGAGGTGGATGCTAGCTACACTAGCTATGCTGATTTTGAAAATCAGATCTGGGGCATAGCAGAGAAGCTGAGAGCTCTCTCATTCCAGGAAGCCTTTTCCCTAGTGGAACATTCAGCGCAGAAGTCCTCACACCCTAATAGATTTCCACCACTGGGAGCCTGTGGTTCCGGGGGAGATTCAGAATGCAAGTGTCTCTTCCCACTCATTTATGTCATGTTGGTAGCTTTAGATCAGCCATGGTGAGGAGAGAACAAAAGCTTTTAGTTGTTTTTGTTTTGTTTTGTTTTGTTTTGGAAAATCGGTTTGCCAGTAAATACATCACTGCCTGTACGCCAAATGTTACCAGCTCCCTGAGGTCCCACATACTATTGTCAGTGCTCAGAGCACAAACTGTTCTCAGAAGAGCAGGGCTAGGACTTGTCCCAGCATCTGTGGCTCCACACCAATCCCCTTTCTCACAGAGAACCACTTCCCATATAAGATGCTTAAGGCTCTCAAAACAGCAGAACAAATGAAACATACTCTCCCTACACTTGCTTAGCTAAGGGATACCACTCAGGTAACTTTTTTCAGGACATGGAAGATCTATTTCAAGGAGATTTACTGCTATTTTATTTGGAAGAAGCTGGCAACTGGTCTTGACCAAAAATAGAAAAAAAAAAGTTCACAAATTTAATCACTTGCAGGGAACCTATCTATCAAGGCACCCTACCATATACGTTTTTATTTAATAGATTACTTAGAAACCACAAAAATAGGAATCCTTGCCCCTTCAATTCCTGTTCAACCCTAAAAATTGTGATAACGCTCCCAACCCTGTGGTGATCAGGGTTATGCAATGTTCAAAGATTCAGACACACCTGGGTTTGGATTCAGTTGCAACTAGGTTGTTATCACACTGACTTCTTTTTAGCTGTGTAAGCATGAATAATTTACTTAGCCTGTCTGTGTCTTTCCACCTAATTAAAAAGAGGATCCTTCCCAGGGTTATTTTGAGGATTCAAAAAGGCATGCAACACAGCTGGAGCACGATTCCATTTCATTCAACTAATTCCCTTCCCTTCCCCCTTCTTCCCCTTCTACAAGATCAATATGTAAAGGAGACATGAGGCTCACTGGTTGCTTTTGAACACTTACTTAGTTCTTAGCTACACCCACTCTAAAATTAACTGGACATTTGTGTACAGCCCATATCCAAGCCTACAGAGAAAACAATGGGAACAATTTCAAGGTCCTCCCTACTCCTTCATTTGCAGAGGGGACAACAGACTTTCTGACTTGAGAGCTGGAGAAATTTTAAAAGAAAATCTCTCATTCCAGCCCAACCTATTTAACTTTTTGTGGAGGAATTTTACATGGAGAAAGTGCGCACATGTCATGCTAGCCAAGAGGACATTATTGTCATTAAAGAGAGACATTATTTATATGCCCTGCAATGTGCACATTAAAGTATGGAAATTTTAAAATTATGACTAAGGGTTTGAAACATATTGCATTACATGCTCACATTTAACAAAGAGAGGAAATGTATTTCAGTTTCTGGAGTGGCTGGAATTTACAAGCTAATTGTCCAATAAATCTACTCAAGATAATTACCCAAGGCTTTATGGCAATGACCTTGAACTGAGAGCCTGTATCCGGATTTAGCACTGGAAAGATCTAACTGGAAATTTGGGTTAAAAGAATCACATTTATTCCCAAATCAGAATACTTTGTTTTTCCTGTCAGTTAATTGCCAGTTGCCAACAAATCTAGTTCTATACAGTTTCTTGGGATGATGATAATAAACATTTATTGAGCAATTGTCCCATAACTTTTGATATAACCTTTGTTATACATATAATTTAATCATCATAACAACACTGTGAGTCTGGTGCCATTATTTCAGCATTACAGATGAGCCATGTAGAGATCTAGAATCTTCTCCAAAGTCACGCAGCTGGTAAGTGGCAAAGCAAGGATTTGAACCAGGCTTTCTGACCCCAAATCCTGAGCTTTATTTCTACCTCTCTGCATTTATCTTATTTTTATAGTTCCTATATCTACCTGTCACAAATTATTTATTATAGTCTTAACCATGTATGTAATCAAATCAAGCCTCAGTTTTCATAAATGATGAAACTGAAGCCCAAAGAGGTAAACTGCTTGTCAAAGAACAAGCAGCCTCCACCTCTTTGGTTCTATGCATTGCAATGAAACAGATATGTTAGGCAAAACAGTTTTAAACCATGTTCCACCGTTGGCTCATCTTGAGAAACAGGTGACAGTATTTAGATTAAACCGATAACACAAACCAATATGCTCTGAGGCTATAGAGATCAGTCACAATATGTTGTTATGAATCCTATGTTAATGGATTGTGTCTGCTCTCTACCATATGCTGCTATCCCCAGACCACTAGACACTCTTTTTGAAACAGAAAAAAATACGGCTTCAGCAAATTCAATTTAGCTTTGGTGTATATTCTATCATGCTTTAGAAACATTCTCAAGGAAAAAATATCTTCCAAACATTTTTGTTAATTACAAATTCCTAAGCCACTGTCTGAGGAACAGTGTGAATTTTTTAAATGAAGATAATTTTTATTTTAAAAAATTACAAATTCCATTCTCCACTTACACTACTGATTCTTTCTGTCTGTTAAAAGAGAGAGTAGGTAGTTAGTCTGCTGTGGTGTTATATCTATTTTGAATACTGTGAACGGGGGAGGCTCGGGTGTTTTTAAAAACAGAGTGTCGGCGGGGCGCGGTGGCTCATGCCTGTAATCCCAGCACTTTGGGAGGCCAAGATGGGCAGATCATGAGGTCAGGAGATCGAGACCATCCTGGCCAACATTGTGAAACCCCGTCTCTACTGAAAATACAAAAATTAACTGGGCGTGGTGGCACATGCCTGTAATCCCAGCTACTCAGACGGCTGAGGCAGGAGAATTGCTTGAACCAAAGAGAAAGAGGTTGCAGTGAGCTGAGATCGCACCACTGCACTCCAGCCTGGGTGACAGAGGAAGACTCCATCTCAAAAAAAAAAAAAAAACAAAAAAACAGAATGTCATTATGGTAGAGGAACAAGGCCACTAGACTGAGAATCAGACTGGACTCCTGCTGCTGTGTCAACTACCATACCTATCCCAGTAGCCAATGACTGTGAACTATAAATCATGAATCATCAAGAATTAGCTGATTCATAATGAAAAATTATAACACTGAAGGGTCACAATAGTAGCAATAAAGCTGTGTAGATCAGAAGACAGTCTGAGCACTCACAGGCTAACTCTGACCTACAAATGTTTGCTTTTGTTGTGACTGGTTTTACATGGTGTTTGTTCTCACAATGCTTTTTAAAAATTGCCAATATTTTAAAAATCTGAAGATTTGAAATAAAAACCTAAATTACTACAAAGAAATGCAGGTCGCTCTCACATGGAGGTAGCCTTTTATTGACTAAGGAGTCTCTGAAATATTGAGATGAAATTAAGAGTTTCAGTGAAGAAAAATTAACACAGTTACACTCTTTGGCACAGAAGTTTAAAATGGACTGAAGTGTTCACTATTTTTCAAAAATATAACAATGGATACAAAATATCCCCACAATCAATATTTTCTAATGCCTGAAACAGTAGAAGAATGTACAATAATCAAAATAAGTATAGCTGTGTAAAATTTCAAACTTTCATATAATAAAATATAACAAAGATAACAAGAAAACATAAAAAGGGGAAACATAACATGTTAGCAAAAGGGTTAGCAGTTTTTCAACAAAAAGCCTCACTGTGTCTGATGTGCATAAATAAATATGCAAAAAAGTCATTATTGATTCATACAAAAGGAGATAGGTAAAACAAACATGGAAAAATAGCCTTGTTAATTCAATAAATACAACTTACAATATTTAAAACAGGAAAAATGATTAATTATAAAAGAATTGGCAAAAATAGAAGCTTTCTAGGCATTGCGGTATCTTTGGTGGCACTGGGAATGGCTTCCATCCTTTTTACGGGACATTTTACACATCTCAAGTCATCAGAACAGTTGTATCCTTTGACCGGGTAATCTTGCTCATTGCAATATGTATCTCAAAGAAATAAAAATATTTTAAAATGCTACACACGGCCAGGCGCGGTGGCTCACGTCTTTAATCCCAGCACTTTGGGAGGCCGAGGCAGGCGGATCACTTGAGGTCAGGAGTTCAAGACCAGCCTGGCCAACATGCTGAAACCCCATCTCTATTAAAAAATACAAAAATCAGCTGGACGTGGTGGCACATGCCTTTAGTCCCAGCTACTTGGGAGGCTGAGGCAGGAGAATCACTTGAAACCAAAAGGTGGAGGTTGCAGTGAGTCAAGATCACTCCACTACATTCTGCCCTGGGAGACAGAGTGAAGCTCCATCTCAAAAAAAGAAAAAAAAAAAATGTTATACACAAAATGTTTTATTGTAGCAATATTTGTCATATATACAATAAATAATATTTAAAAACTTAAATACCTACAGTTTGG